AAAGACGGGGTTGTAATAAAAAAAAGAGAACGTATTGGGGCGTGTTCCCCCCTTTTTAATTTTCCAAGTCCCTCTTTTCCAATGTTTGTGCTGTGACACGTGATTGTTTCAGTGTCTTGACACCAGAGCGCAGCCCAGCTCCCGTAATGCATATTTAAAAAAATGAACTCCTTACAAATAAAATGTACAAATGTTTTGTCAATACGAATCAAAAGTATTTTAACATTTATTCAGAAGTCCTTCTACCAGAATTTTTAAAATTGTGGTATGCAATGTCGTAACTGAGGAAACTTTCAGGTAGATACGTAAATATATATATATATAACTTGTAGGAACTGCATGTGTTTCCTAACTTGTTACTCAGATTTACTTGCAGGAACTGCGTGTGTTTCCTAACTTGTTACTCAGATTTGTAGCTTTGAAGTGCACGTGTTTTCTCTGTTTATGTTGGCATTAAATGAGAACGGATGAACGAAGTTCCATGTCGGATACCGGGGCCTCGCGCACGGCTTTGGGATCAGAACAGTTGTCTGTCAGAATTGGGACGTACGAAATCCGAAAGTTAGTAACTGCCAGAAATCTGGCTACTTCATTTCCGTTTGTGACCTCATAACGAGGCCTGGTATGAGGAATCACAACATCGGCCGTCTGACACTCCGAGAAATGGTCTGCGCAGAACAGGTGCTCACCGCCCGCATTTCCACCTCACACAGTGCGCGTCTTTGTCATCTGCACTGCAAAGCTTTGTGTGTTGCATACTCTGTAGGCGGTGTCATTATCACGACTTGCGTTTGAATTTGGAGCTTGTTTGTCCTTCGATGACCCTTAGTGACAAGTCCCCCCTTCAAGCCTTTGGAATATTATCTGAAGTCCGCGCTGTTCAGGCCGGGGAAGGGTCGAAAACATTGCAACAGAACAGCTAAAAATTTGCATATTTTTTGAGTGCGTGAGAGTTTCCGCTGGAGATCGCATTGAGGTACTCGCCGTGTGTACTTCATGAACACGCAAAATCACAACGTTTCTCGTTCTGCAATAGAATTTCCTTTCCTCATCTTAGAAGACGGATGAAATTATTCACGAGTTAAGCGACGCTTGCAAGATCACTCACTACGTTTAATGTAATTCAACGGGTTCAGCATTCTGGAGTTGGCGTGTTCCTCTTAACAGTCTCACAGCATTAGGAGACGGATGCTGACGTAATTGCCTGCTTGCCGAGTTGAAGTGCTGGCAACTTTTCCGGAGTTGGGATTTGCCGTGACAATACAGGCCTTCAGACGTAGGACGTAGGACGTAGAAGGATGCATTTTAGTTGGAAAATATAAAAAGGATGAGTTGGGACCCCTTTTGAGGAATGTAATCGGTGTACTGACTCATTATACTCCGGCTTTTGCTATAATATTTATCGGTTGCAAAAGATCTGATCAATAGTTGACCTATTACGACGGAATCCACATTCATCGACTTCGATAGTCTCATTCATAAATGATGTTAACCGTGCCAGACGAATATTCGATGAAATTTTGTATGACGTTGACAAAAGAGAGATTACCTCGGAAGTTACTGCACTCAGTTTAACCTCCTGTTTTATCGATTCTTTCCGCTGTTGTGGTAGTAAACTCAGTTTAACCTCCTGTTTTATTGATTCTTTCCGCTGTTGTGGTAGTACTTCCTGGTTCCAAATTGAGACTACATCACTGTACAAATACAATAGACTTTTACCGACGGGATGGCATTTTAATAATGGTGACATTTTTCGGGATGTTCTATGTAGGTCTAATCGAACCTGAAGCTGACCTGCACGCCTTCCGCAATTCTGCACTCGTTATTCATCTATAAGTAACGTCGTTCACGGAGCTCATAATAACTTAATAAGTTTTGCACCACGAAGTGAACAAACAGTAGAAATATTTCACATTTAGAGACTTTTTCTTCGTGAGATGTCGTATATTCTTTACGCCGTAGCAGTTTTTGTTTATGGTCTGTTTCGACGGATTTTATGTAAATAGGTCTTCTGTGTAAGTACGGAAACAAGGCGGAATGGAACGCGTATATTGACTTTTACTGTAATCACTAGATTTAATCGAATTATTCTCACTAGTTTGGGAGAAGACGTGTGCCGATACACGCGTGTGACTCCACATTATGCGTTCACTTTACGCGGTGCCCAATACGCGCAGTACAGTTTGGGAATGTGGAATACTTTAATGAACAGCGTGTATGAAGACTTTGTGGGCCGGGGGGAGGACTTCTTCCTAAATGGGATTACTGGTCTGGAAGTTGTTTAATCAAGAACAGACAAGGACGCGGGGTTCTGGCTTTCACTTTGTTTCCAAAGTTCAAACCCTCTCATCCGTGCGCATTGGATTGTGGGAACCGCTGGAGGAAGGGACAAGACAGGACGAGTCACTGGGCATCCAGCCAAACACACGTGTCTCTGTAATATGTAAGCACGTCGAACGGTGGAGGATGAGCTCCACATGTTCCTAAACTGGATAATAAATAGAGGTTTCATGTTCAGTCCGCTTTAACCCGGGAGTCCCTTTGTTCAGTGGCTGTCTCGATGTTGTGTTAATATTTCTGTCACCGGGAATTGAACTTCAACCAGTAGATAATCTGTGTGTTCGCTGATTGTCCTCAGATAATCCCAGACGCCTCAACGGTGCATCGGGTGAACGCGCTGTAATGACTGGCGGGCATCTTGTTTTGTCATTGAAACCAATGTTAATGAAAGTTGTTTATTGGCCGAAAGAGTAAATGCCTGCTTTGCCGACTTTCAATTAGTGGTCTCGTAGACCTTGGGAGTTTTGTTGTCTCAGTGTTAAATACGTATTTTTTAGGCATACTGTACTTGGGTTGTTTCCTCACTTTGTATACTGATATGCTGCAAAATATCTTGCTCAGTTGAGGCGGTAACTCTCAATTTCATGCCCTCGTTTCGAAGTTTTCATCTGACCCTCGGCCGGTCTCGTGGTAAACGTAGTTTAGTTTTGTTAAGTGTCTGTCGTCATAAATAATGTAATTAATACAGACCCTGAGCGTGTAGCTTAAAGCGGGGTGGGTGTGGGGGGGAGTTGAGGAAAAGCACAGATTTATTTTTTCCCATATAAGGGCGAGAAGTTGCTGGAGGACAGATGGTTGTTGGTTCAAGTCCGGGATTCTGTGAACAGCGGGTTTGCATGCCTGTGACGTAACCCGGCGCGTGTATTTGAATGGGACATTGTAAGGACAAAACAATTTGGTGTTGGTAATTAAGAACGAAAGCATTCTAAGGGACGGGGAACCAAGGAAGCCGTCGTTAAGTAGAAAAGTACTCGGATTAAAGTTCTCGCTCGACGTGTCTCAGGCTTACGTAGCATTGAATCGGGATTGGGAACGTGCGGAAGTGGTCGTGGCCTGTCTGAAGTCTAAGTCAGCATTTACTGGGGGACAGTTGATGGAATCCGAGATACATTCTCAATAACAATCAACCTTGACCGATCGTTCATTTCATCGGCAGAGCATTTTTCGAAACAGATGAACGAGGTATTGATGCAGTTTTGACAACGTTTGTAACACATTATCTTGTTCGTAATAAATTGATGTTGAAGCTAATGTTAAATCTTGAAATATGCTGGAGTACTCCTTCCCATTCTCGAAGTATTTGTATTGGTTCAAAGACAGGGAGCTTCTGGCAGGCACGATGATAATAAGTTTCTCTGGATAGAACCTCTGACCCAGAGGACGCAGAAACGAACGGACCTGTCGAATTAACTTGGTTCGCCCTGGACCACAAGAATTGTTCCGTCCACTGGGAGGGATCACGAGGAATTTATGTCCACTCTCCGTA